TCAACCACAAATACAAGTATGTGTGTGTGTGTGTGTGTGTGTGTGTGTGTGTGTGTGTGTGTGTCAGTCCAAAAAGTCACTTGACCGCGAGTAGCACCACACAGGAAGTAAGTGTCTGGTAAATAGCCAACCAGAGTTTGCTTTAGGTCCAGCAGATCCAATAGAGTGATGTGCAGCAAAGTGGAAACTCATTTAAATAATGGCTCAGCAATCTGCGAAAGATCCGTGAACGATCAGTGGGTGTGAGTCTGAGGCTGAGATCAGCACAACACACGCTCACACAAACATATTTCACAGTGAAGCAACATATTCAATGAGAAGAAATGTGATGTCGTACTGGATTTTATCCACCCAGAATTGATTAGATCATGAAAAGTGGGCATTCATACAATAATGAAACCGATCAGAATGCAAGTTTGCAGTGGAAGAACTACTAGCCCATTGAAACAAGGAATCGTTTCTCGTTTCAGAGGCAGAGCAAGTACATTCTGTACGTTTACAGAGCGTTTTTTTTTTTTACTTTAGGATAGCATGCACTGATGAATCATGCAGGAATGTGTATGAAGAGGTAAATAGGGTCAATTCTGATCCCATGTTGACTTTAATGGATAAATTTGCATTGCCTCATGTTCTAATATTATAGCATCCCTCAGACAGTAACCTAATGGAGAGCATAGATTGTCTGACTGTGAAATATGTGCTTGTGAGTGCTGTATAGATGCACAGAATGCACCTAATCCAGGTGTTTGGAGTTGCACGTTGCGGTAGTTAAGATGGTTGCTTCAAATCAAAATAGACGACACGTAATATTTTCTAACATTCTGGTGCCTACACTGTAAAAAATATTTGTAATTAAAACTATTAACAATACAATAAAAAAATATTTATTTAACATCACATTACAAGTAATTTTGCTGTAAAATACTGCCAAATATATGGGTTTTGCCAGTAAAAATTATGAACAAAAACAATAAAAGGACATTCCCAGAAGTCCCTGAGTGATGACATATGAATATATTTTCTTTAAATAGTTATGTTTCTTACATATTCTTACGTGTTTGAAGATATGCACATCTATATACGAGTACTGGGAATGTTTTATGGACAAGCCATTTATGATTGTACAACCCGTATTATTATTGTTGTTATCAGTACATTTTAAGGTAAAATCAGATTTTGATAGTAGATTGGTATTTAAAATTATATCAATTAATGAAATATACTGTTTGTAAAATATGCAGGCAGCAATATGCCATCCTTGACAAACATTATCAGTTTTGACAGCGAACTGCAGGCTGGCTTTTTTTTTTCCAGTAGATTTGTGTCCCTGGAGCACAAAAGCAGTCTTAAGTCGCTGGGGTATATTTGTAGCAATAGCCAACAATACATTGTATGGCTCAAAATGATCAATTTTTCTTTTATGACAAAAATCATTAGGATAATAAGTAAAGATCATGTTCCATGAAGATATTTTGTAAATTTCCTACCGTAAATATATCAAAACTTAATTTTTGTTTAGTAATAAGCATTGCTAAGAACTTAATTTGGACAGCTTTAAAGATGATTTTCTCAATATTTAGATTTTTTTTTTTTTTGCACCCTCGGATTCCAGATTTTCAAATAGTTGTATATCGGTCAAATATTGTCCTATCCTAACAAACCATACATCAATGGAAAGATTATTTATTATGCATAAATCTCAATTTAAAAACATTTACCCTTATGACTGGTTTTGTGCTCCAGGGTCACATTTATTAGGTTATCTTTTACAGTGTAGATACTTGAGACCATCCACTCTTTTATCATCCACCAAACACTAATCACAAGTCAGATTACTGAAAAAAAAAATAACTCATTAAACAAGCTACTTTTGGCAAGTTGTGTGTTTTATGCAACAACTAACTCTGTGTGTCATGGTATGAGAGTTTATCGTGCTATATATATATATATAAAATATTGAAATGTACTAAACACCGAAGGCATTTGATGAAACCACAAATACAAGTATGTGTGTGTGTGTGTGTGTGTGTGTGTGTGTGTGTGTGTGTGTGTCAGTCCAAAAAGTCACTTGACCGCGAGTAGCACCACACAGGAAGTAAGTGTCTGGTAAATAGCCAACCAGAGTTTGCTTTAGGTCCAGCAGATCCAATAGAGTGATGTGCAGCAAAGTGGAAACTCATTTAAATAATGGCTCAGCAATCTGCGAAAGATCCGTGAACGATCAGTGGGTGTGAGTCTGAGGCTGAGATCAGCACAACACACGCTCACACAAACATATTTCACAGTGAAGCAACATATTCAATGAGAAGAAATGTGATGTCGTACTGGATTTTATCCACCCAGAATTGATTAGATCATGAAAAGTGGGCATTCATACAATAATGAAACCGATCAGAATGCAAGTTTGCAGTGGAAGAACTACTAGCCCATTGAAACAAGGAATCGTTTCTCGTTTCAGAGGCAGAGCAAGTACATTCTGTACGTTTACAGAGCGTTTTTTTTTTTTACTTTAGGATAGCATGCACTGATGAATCATGCAGGAATGTGTATGAAGAGGTAAATAGGGTCAATTCTGATCCCATGTTGACTTTAATGGATAAATTTGCATTGCCTCATGTTCTAATATTATAGCATCCCTCAGACAGTAACCTAATGGAGAGCATAGATTGTCTGACTGTGAAATATGTGCTTGTGAGTGCTGTATAGATGCACAGAATGCACCTAATCCAGGTGTTTGGAGTTGCACGTTGCGGTAGTTAAGATGGTTGCTTCAAATCAAAATAGACGACACGTAATATTTTCTAACATTCTGGTGCCTACACTGTAAAAAATATTTGTAATTAAAACTATTAACAATACAATAAAAAAATATTTATTTAACATCACATTACAAGTAATTTTGCTGTAAAATACTGCCAAATATATGGGTTTTGCCAGTAAAAATTATGAACAAAAACAATAAAAGGACATTCCCAGAAGTCCCTGAGTGATGACATATGAATATATTTTCTTTAAATAGTTATGTTTCTTACATATTCTTACGTGTTTGAAGATATGCACATCTATATACGAGTACTGGGAATGTTTTATGGACAAGCCATTTATGATTGTACAACCCGTATTATTATTGTTGTTATCAGTACATTTTAAGGTAAAATCAGATTTTGATAGTAGATTGGTATTTAAAATTATATCAATTAATGAAATATACTGTTTGTAAAATATGCAGGCAGCAATATGCCATCCTTGACAAACATTATCAGTTTTGACAGCGAACTGCAGGCTGGCTTTTTTTTTTCCAGTAGATTTGTGTCCCTGGAGCACAAAAGCAGTCTTAAGTCGCTGGGGTATATTTGTAGCAATAGCCAACAATACATTGTATGGCTCAAAATGATCAATTTTTCTTTTATGACAAAAATCATTAGGATAATAAGTAAAGATCATGTTCCATGAAGATATTTTGTAAATTTCCTACCGTAAATATATCAAAACTTAATTTTTGTTTAGTAATAAGCATTGCTAAGAACTTAATTTGGACAGCTTTAAAGATGATTTTCTCAATATTTAGATTTTTTTTTTTTTTGCACCCTCGGATTCCAGATTTTCAAATAGTTGTATATCGGTCAAATATTGTCCTATCCTAACAAACCATACATCAATGGAAAGATTATTTATTATGCATAAATCTCAATTTAAAAACATTTACCCTTATGACTGGTTTTGTGCTCCAGGGTCACATTTATTAGGTTATCTTTTACAGTGTAGATACTTGAGACCATCCACTCTTTTATCATCCACCAAACACTAATCACAAGTCAGATTACTGAAAAAAAAAATAACTCATTAAACAAGCTACTTTTGGCAAGTTGTGTGTTTTATGCAACAACTAACTCTGTGTGTCATGGTATGAGAGTTTATCGTGCTATATATATATATATAAAATATTGAAATGTACTAAACACCGAAGGCATTTGATGAACTAGTCAATAACGCAAGCAAAGGAGGCGATTCCATTCCTGCCCCTTTGACATCCAGTTTCCCATTCATTCAACTCAGCCATAACACACGCATTGAAGTGAGCACACACGCACTCAGTTTTAAATTGGCTGTCAGTGGGCCCTTATGAATCTTTAAAGAAGCCATAAAACATCAGCCAGTGCAGAATAACCCTGTCTGCCACCCAACAGGTGGTGTTACACACATACACATGCCACTTCCACCTGTCTCACCTGTACTTCATGCTACTGTGTCTTCCAATGGCCTCCTTCATGTGGGCGTGGCCTTGTGGCAGGGGTCGGGACCCCGCCAGGTCCCGTGATTTGACCAAGCTCTGAGGGGCGTAGTTGCCGTTTCCCCCCTGTCCGCTCCCTCCTCCTCCTCCACTGCCCCCTGGTGGAGGGGCAGTTCGCAGGCCGCACAGCCGGTCCTCGCTGCGGCTCTTCAGATTGTGCTCCGTACAAGCGAATGAGACCTGCATCCTGACCGGCTCTCACACACTTGTGACACTTGTGTGTTTGAGTTTATCAGACTGAAACGCTTTGTGTTTGTGGTAGTCTCACAGTATGTGCCTTATAGATAGATAGATAGATAGATAGATAGACAGGGCAAACCTGTACTCAAGTCAGGTCTTGCACCTGCTGGCACCAACTTGCAGCTGTTGCGCGGAGGGCGCGCGTCCAAACGCAACGCTAACGCGGTGGGGTGCGTGTTTATGTCGCCACTCAAAAAGTCACGTCTGGCTGCTGTCCAGGCCTTTAATGTGCCGCTGCGTGCACAGTCTGTCTATGCAGTCGCCCACTGCACTTCTCCAATACCTGGATCGACGCAACTTGAAGGCGCTCCTCTCCGTGTTGAGGCATTCCTCTGCAGAATCCGGGTGGTCTCTCTGTATGAGGCGGGGGACCTCCTCAAAATGCGGAACCACCCATCCACACCGGGTTTCCACCGACGGGATGCGCAACAGCCGGCGCCACTTCACCTAAATGGCACTGAAGCTCAGCTACGCGGTGGTCGAACGCGACTGCAGCTTGTGTTCAGGCGCGCCTGGCCATCTCCTCGTCTACAGTCGTATGAACACAAATTCGCGCACACAGTCACTAGGTAGTGATAGTCACTCTCTGACACACAGCGCGCCCTCACGCGCTCGACCCTCGTTTTCCTGACGCGTAATTATTGCCATGGTGATCATCGCACGCGATCAAAAGAGAGTTTGACAGCTCCGCAGTGTCCATATTCCATCGTCAGATCTGACCATAGTAGCCCATATGTCGCATCTTGAAGGTGGTATAACGACGAAAGGCTGTCGATGGAGATGTGAAGGGAAGTCTCTCCCTCTTTCTCTCTCTCTCTCTCTCTCTCTCTCTCTCTCTCCTATCTCCATTGTGATTAATGTGTGAATTGAGCAGGACCACTGCGGATTAATCACGTTATTGTTTGGGTTAGGGCTTGACACACACACACACACACACACACACACACACTCTCTCTCTCACACACACACACACACACTCTCTCTCTCACACACACACACACACACTATTTTACATTCCTCTGTTGCTTAAATATATGCATAGGCAGCAAAGCAAAAAGGTTCCAAAGGTGGAGAATAAAATAAAAATAAAAACATTTAAAAATCTCTACTTTTCCTTATACAAAACGGGAGTTTCCAAACCAGGAATCTGCCATTCAGACTATCAGACAAAGTCTCTCTAATATAATGCTACATTTTTAACTTATAACACTGTAGGGCTATATTAAATATTAGCAAATGCATCACAGTTTTTTTTTCTAACCATTAACAGACCAAATTTGAGCAAAACAGAATAAATGAATTAGAAATAAAACTTGTATATATATATACAACATTTTAAATTTTCAAATAAATTAGTATATTTTTACATGTTGGCCCACAGACCTTCTGCAGTACATTTAAAACTCTGAACGTATAATATTATCCAACTATCTTTAAACTGACTAAAACAAAAAACACATAGTTCCATAAACTAGGTAATTTTTCATGTTTAAAAATCACAACTTTCTTTTCTTTTTTTCATAAAATATTTAATATACACTAGGGATATATTTTACAATCTCTGGACACAATCAAACTTCAAACACAAAACGTGAGAAAGAGAGAGCAAGGGAAACAATCAAATTGCGATAAAATGAAAGTAGCGACAGATTATCAAAAGTGTAACAGATTATCAAAAAAGAAAAGAAAATGTATGGTGGAGATTTGGTTCTGTGCATTCGTTGTTGAAATGTGGGTGTTGCACGCAAATGTAGAGACGGATGAATGTGAGCTTGCAGGGACGGCGTTTAAGTGGACTAAATAACTGGAGAAGTCCTCCTTGAGAGAAGTCTGACATTTCACCAGAAGCTCCAGTTATGACATTTTGATTAAACATTACAGGGTCAAAAAAATAAAATAAAAGGCATATGCACGGGTGAATTGTTCACATTAAGGTCTATAACATGCACTTAGAAAACAGATAGGGTTAATTTTCATTTCATACCTATTTTAAGATGGCATGATAGACATAAACATGTAATATATATATATATATATATGACGTAACACAAAATGTAACTCACTTTGAACTAAACTACAAAGAACAATCTCTCCCAAGTCTCTCAGTTGACCTCAGTTCATAAACCTGTACAATGGGTGAACTGCAACCCTGACATAAATATGAATAACAAAAACATGCTCTTGGCTCTCCTCACAAACTGCTTAAGAAGGCCAAGGGTGGTTTTTAGAGCCAGACGGTTGGTGGTGGATGCTGCTGTTGTAACATCTCCACTGAACCAACTCTCTGACCACAAGCACAGGACACAAAACCTCAAAATGATTCACAACAAAGCATCCCGAACAACGGAGAATCAACATGAAACTGCAGTTGTTTAAGGAGAAATGTAAGCATTCCTATAGTTCTGTGTGTTGTTCAACTGACTGTTCAAATGGAGCCGCATTTGTACACTCATGCAGCTAAAGCATGTTTTTCAAAGCCGTACTCAGTGCATCAGGGCACACAGAGACTGCTGCCAACCAGTCAGAGCGAGGCAGTGCAGAGGAATCAGCCAGTGACAGCGCAGCTGTGCTGTGTAGTGAACATGGGGGGAATAGAACAAATCTGCTCTCATCAGAGAACATCTGCATGCAGTCCAGAGCCAGAGAGAGAGAGAGAGAGAGAGAGAGAGAGAGAGAGAGAGAGAGAGAGAGAGAGAGAGAGAGAG